TCATGGGAATATTGAAAATAAATGAGAAAATAAGTACTAATGCAGTGGCCTTTTATACAGAACATGCTTCAGCGTCTGTTGTAACTTCCGTTCCTGTAATGCAACGCACTCTTCGTCTTAACAGGATCGGCTTACGTGTCTACACGAACAGTGGCGCCGGAACCACGGAACTTTCGGAGTTTAAGACAGCCCGTAAGTTGGTTTGTTGTTCTCGCTTGAGTTTCTACCAGGCATCTGCTTTTTAGTCAATTCCTTTTTTCAAGAAACCTTCTCCGTGCATGTGTGCTTTCATTCGACAGCGAAAGCCAGACGTAGCATACATGTCTCCTCTTCGAGGGAAAAGCTAAGAGTGATCTATACAGCCGTCCTCTGCTGCTTAAGAAGGCCGGTGCGGAACTCGAGAGAGGCAGCGATACCTGCTTTTAAACTGGCATTTAATCTTTTTTAATGATTTTATTCAGTCGTAGAATGAAAATATACAAAAAACTGATGATCTCTGTCTCAAAATGGAAACGATTAGCAAAGATTTCAAGCCGTGGTTGGTCTACTGCCAGAGGTTCCTATGTTATTATTGTTTTATCTTCGCAAAACCCCAGTTGCCCATGAGTTCAGTCTGCTTGTTGGAAGACTCCCATTTTTTCCACGTTTTGGATCTCTATTTGATAAATTCAAGCCTGTTGATTGCCATTACATTCCTTCTTTAGTTAAGTGGGTCAATTACAATTCCTTTGACCTTCATCTTCATGTTGTGTTGTTTCTTTCTTAAAGGTGGGCCCTATTTTCATTTTAATATTTTTTCATGAACAGGAAATTGAGTATATCAAAAGCACACACTTACAATGAAAAAATAGTTCTTTCCAACTACTATCGTGTACGCTATCTCCTAGCGATTGGAAGTAGGCTAAAACTCGAAGATGTATCGAAACTTCTTACCTCATTACCCTACAGGGATTCAAGTGAGAAGAAACTAACTCAATCTCTGGGACAGTAATTTTATTTGCCGTCGCGGATTCATCACCAGAGAAATTAGCATAAAGCGGTAGCAGAAGCCGTTTCTGCTCCTACTGAATAATCTTCAGCTTGCAGTGTA